CCATCCTACCCAACTCAAGAAAAAAGAAGAAGTTATGGGTGTTATATACATCCTCTTTTCTTTTTTTTTCTTTTTTTTCAAACAAGTGATATTCTAATTACTCTAATCAAATCGACGTCGAGTGTAAGAAACATGTATATTTGCTTTAAACAACTGATTTAATCTACATCTGCTATATTATAGCCATTATTTAACACACGCATTTCCTCACAACTTTTTTTGTTTGAACCTCAAGTTTGCGTGGCATTTACCCAAGCACTTTGAGTAGATATCAATTTGTGTGGCATTTATGTGATTATATTGTCTTTCTAACCCAACTCTTTTTTTCTTTCTAAAATTCCCGAGTAATATTGTTTGTCCTCAGCCCAACCTGGTCTCAACCTCAGCCCAGCCCAAAAACTTCAGCCCCACTAACCGTTCAAGCTCTCCCACTCCTACTCTCCTTTATTTTCTCTCTCTATCTCTTCATATGCTCCCTGTTCCTCTCCATCCCCAGCATCTTCTAGTAGCTGAGAGCTGAGAGAGAGCCTCATATCCTCTTCGTAATTTCTTCTTCCAGTTTTGTTCTTGTTGTCCTTTTTCTTCCAACCCACCCATCTTCTCCTTTCCTCCACCGTATCCCCAATCCCAATCTTTATCTTCTTCGCTAATCTTCTCCAATCCCCTACTAATCCCAGGTTGGTTCTAAGTTTAATTCTTGATTCATTCTTTGTACATGAAGCTCACCAGAACAATGGCGTTCAAATCAGCTATAGTGCAACCCAAAAACCCACCACACTTCAACCCCACATTTTCTTGCTGCCTGAAACCATCCTTTCAGTTCAGGGAGAAGCCACTGAAGGATTTTGAATTCAATATCAAGAGAAGAATTGGGGCAATAGCAGCAGTAAGTTGGGCACTAATGGCGGCGAAAGAAGCAATTTTTGTTGAAGCTGCAAATGGATTTGACTTGCAACTGGTAGCACCTGGTCAGACAATTGAAGAGGCAGAGAGTGGAATCAAAGGTCATGCACAAGCTCTGTTACAAGTGAAAGAGCTGATAGATTTAGAGTCATGGAGAGAGGTACAAATAGCTCTCAGGAAGAGCTCATCAGTCTTGAAACAGGACATTTATACCCTAATTCAAGCAAAACCTGCAAATGAGAGGCCCCAACTGAGAAAACTTTATTCTGACCTCTTCAACAATGTGACCAGAGTAAGTTTTTGCCATTTCCACCCAATAAACATAGGACTTGACAAAATTATTTCAATTCACTTGACCAAGTTTTTTGTGGATTGCAGCTTGATTATGCAGCTAGGGATAAAGATGCATCATATATCCGACAATGCTATGAGAACATTGTTGCAGTTCTGAATCAAATGCTATCTAGAATATAAAGTATCAAGTAATTGTTCCCTTCCTTATTTTCTTCCCTGCAAATTATATGCATCAAAAGATGTTGTGGAGGAATTTACATGAAGCATAGCCACTTAAGGTCGTCTGTTAACAACGAGTTATTTTTCTTTATGAGTAAGCTTTTGTATCCGTTATAGAAATTGATCAATCTGCTGAAAGCACTTCTTACAACAGGATCATTATTTTATGATGCAATCCTCTTTCGTAAGGCTTCATTTGCCGGAATTGTAAAACCGTAATTCTTTTGTTGAATATGAGTTTCTCGTTCTTGGATGAATGGTTCCTGTGGGTCAGACAGACACCAGAATTGTAAGTTATAACTGAGGGTTCTGTTCTGCGCAAGTCACCGTCTTCTACAATCTTAATATTTCTAGATTACCTTATATATAATTAAACTAGATCCCACATATTTTAATTTCCTCTACACCAACTGGTACTTTCTTTCCAACGTTGAAAGATATCCTAAATTTAAATCCTCCACTCCCAATAAAAATAAAAATAAAATCCTCTACGCATAGAGTCGTATATAAGAGATCAGAAAAATAGCATGCGTCTTTAAATAGGCATACGTGTCCTCAATTATTCTGAAAATTTCAAAGTTATAATAAGGCAGCAATTTCAACCCTACACCTGTGCGTCTTCAATCTGCTGCTAGTAGTATTCTGCTCTTAATTTGTGTTGCTGTCTTCTGTCTAATTGGCGATTAAGCACTACGCAAGCATGGCGGAAATTTTCCTTACTTTTGCTGCTGAAGGAATACCGAAGAAGGTGGCTTCGCTTGCAGCTCAAGAATTCAATCTTCCTGGGGATTCAAAGCAGAGCTGACAAGGCTCAGTGAATCTTTGAACATGATTCAAGATATCTTAAGTGATGCTGTCGAGCAACCGCAAGGTTGGGGCAAGGTGGTAGAGGAGTGGGTGAAGAAACTTAAAACATATAGCTTATGATGCTGATGATGCGTTGGATGAGTTCAAATATGAAGATCTTCGGAGTAAAGTAGGGCTCCGAAACCAAATCCACATAAAGGTATTGATCACCCTCCTATCCCAGTGCTTTTCATCTTAAAATGGCACATAAAATTAAGATCATAAATGCATCCTTGGTGAATCTGGAGAATAGAGCATCTGTTATTGGATTAGTTGAAAAAAATGTTATGGCTACAACGCAGTACGTCCCTCGTGGAATGAAGGAGGTTGTGTCAAGTATAATTACAACCTTGATCAACTCCAAAAATCTAGAAAATGTTTCGATTATGGCCATTGTTGGAATGCCAGGCCTAGGAAAGACAACTTTGGCTAAGTCAGTGTACAATGAATATGAGACAAATAGACACTTTGATAAGAAAATATGGGTGTGCGTATCTGACACTTTTGACGTACATTCTATATTGAGTCAAATGCTAGAATCCCTTAACCCAACAAGGGTTGGGATCACAAGTCAGGATGCACTGCTTAAGTGAATCTCTGACAGTTTGTGTGCCTAACAAATTAGGTTTATATTATTGTTCTTTCTCCTCTGTTTTTTTTGTAGCTCTGTGACTCTGAGAATGTGAAGGTAAAAGTCCCACGTTGAAAAGTTGAGAAACCTAGTAAGGGCTTATAAGGAGTTGAGCTACTTCTCTCATTGCCAATTGGTTTTGGGGTGAAACCCTTTTGTTCCCTTTTCCATCTGGCTGAACTGAAGATGATGCCTTCAATTGTGGTGTCTCAACTGGAACACCAAGCCAGCAAGCTCGCTTTAGCTGTAGGAGTGGGGAGACGACGGTAACTTCATGGTTCGGATGACCTTAGGTCCAATATATTTTCAAGGTTAGCTAGAATATCTGGTGAAGCACTAGCAGTAGCTTGTGATGATACCGTAAATATATAGTCAAGGTTGCGTATGGCAATGTCCTGCAATAACAAACACAGCTTCAATAATTAAATAATTAAGTAGCACGTAAACTACAAATCTGCAAAAACTTGGATCACAAGTCCCATAAACAGAAGCATGAGACAATACTACATCGTCTTGTAGTTCCTAAAGTGTTCAAGACAAATAACCTGCCCTCGACTATACTTTTATCTTCCAAAAGAAGATAAAGCAGACTGTATTGGAGATATTGACAACTAAATCACAAAAACTTACTGGAAAAAAAAACACTCAAAGGCCACCCAGTATCGGCATATACCACCTTATATATTAGGCCCAAGAGTGGTGATATCCAGGTGACCCAACAAGAGGAATCATATATATATATATAACGTGAGGTCCAAAATCACAGATTATTATGATGTGAGGTCCAACATTCCTGTTGTATAATAAGTTCACAACTCACCAAAACATTGGAAATACACATTGGAATGAATGATGGAACCCTATCACACCAGAATTGTGGCAAATCTGGTAAAGCCCATTCAGGTTATTCTCAGTAACTTTCAGAAGTATCTGTAACAGGGCAAATCTTCATCAATCCTCTTCTTCTCAGTTTATCTTTATGCCCATTCATGCATGTATATATTATTCGAAGAAGCTTTTGACATATGGCATGTATTGTGTGTCAAATGTCTTCATGAAGACAGATATAGCCGCGCGGCTATATTCGAAAATAGAACATCTTAAACGTATAGCCGCGCGGCTTTACTATGTAAATAACTTTAAAGGCATAGCCGTACGGCTATACTCCATAAATAGAATATTTTAAAAGTATATTCTCGCGGCTATACACGAAAATAGAACAATTTGACAGTATAGCCGAGCGGCTATACTCTAAACATCGGTAGTCATTTTCCCTCCCTCCGGATATTGAAGATTTTAAGGTGTGATAAATTGTCAAGGCTGCCGAGTGGTCCCGTCCGCGAATTGAAGATTACAGCTCGTGATGAACTATCAAGCCTACCGAGTGGGCAAGAAAACTTGACTTCTCTTCAGAAGTTGGAAAAAAGTAAGTGTGGTAGTTTGAAATCCATTTCAATATTAATTCAGGGTCTGACATCCCTCCGCAAATTTGAAATTGACAGGTGTGATGGATGTTATCATTGGCAGATTCTACACCCCTCCATGTCTTGACGAGTTGTCTATAAGCTACTGCAAAAAACAGGAGTCTGTTCCAACTTTACAGGGATGCGCATCCCTCCGTGAATTGAGAGTTTTCAAGTGTGAAGGATTTGTAAGCATACTGAGTGGCCTAGAATCTTGTACTTGTCTTCGTGTTCTGCCCATCCAGTATTGTCAAAATTTCAGGAATTTATTGGATGTGCTACAGAGCACTGTATCTCTTGAGGGGTTAAGAATAACTGACTGTCCTTATCTGGAGACTATTCCAAGCTCAGACAACCTCAAATCCCTCAGTCTGTTGTGGATTGAAAAATGTAATGCATGAAAGTCGTTTTCCTCTAATAGACTGGACTCCTCTATGCATGTGGGATCCACTTGTTGTATTAGAGAGGTGTCAGCAATGTAGTAAATAAATGTGGTAAAAAAGAAGCAATATTATATATATATATTGCGTCATGTATGATGTTGTCTTTTAACATGTCTTGCCTCCATTGGCCGCAACATATAATATATAAGCTCACCTCCCGGTCTTCAAGTATAATGTGTGTGTGCATGTTAATTAAGCAACTACCTTGTCCTTAATGGTAGGTCAAGCTACGCAGGCACTGAAGATGAAGCAAGAATATCTGGGTATGGTATTGCCAATAACAATTACATCAATATGGTGGTGGAGTTGTCTGATCAGAGGCGTTGATGCAAGCCCACAGATCAATCTACTAAACAAGGGCTGCAGCCAATACAATGCCACAAACTTGCCTGACTTCTATACCAATCTCAACGCCACTTTCTCAGACCTCAAAACACAGCTCAACAAAAACAGCACCCACTTTGCCACGGCACAGCAGGCCAGGGGTTCGGATCCCGTCTACGCCATGGTGCAGTGCAGGAACTACCTCTCCGCCGCTGACTGCGCTGCTTGCTTCGCCGCCGCGGTGTCCCAAATTCGCAACTGCTCCGCGGCCAACGGTGCCCGTGTCATCTACGACGGTTGCTTCCTCAGGTACACCCTGGTCCCTGCTGTTGCTCTACTACTCTTCCATGATTTAGTTTTGTATATTTATTTGTTTTCTAAACGAAATGACAACTAGATACACCCACTTGCTGGAAACAAAACACAAATGCATTAATATCTATCATATCAGGTCTTACTATTTCTCATTCAAATTCAATTATTTCTCATTCTAATAATTGCTTAACTAAATGACATTCGTGCCCTTATTATTTTCCAAAGTTTCCAACTGCACATAATAATGCCTAACCCTTTCTAGAATACTGAACTAAAAATCTATGGCTCCTCACCCCCAATTGGCAGTCGGTGTCATAATTCAGAAAGTACAGAATTAGAAGAAGTCAAATATACTTGGAACATATTGCATCCTTCCTAGGGTCGTCGTTGTCGTGGCAGCCTAGCATCTTTCCAAGTTGCTGCCAGCCAATATCACCAATAGAGCTAGATATTAGTGGGATTGGTCTAATCAGTAAACAGGTATGGTGATCGTTGACCAACAACAAGTTTAATCATAACTTCATTGAATCAACACTAAGTCGTAGCTACAAAATTTGATAATTGACTTCAGAGTCGTTAACAAAATAATAGAGATGTTCTAACATTAATTCTCACATGATGATGTCGGTCTTATGAAATTATAAGATTATCGTGGAAACTATATGTAAAAGAATTCGGAAAATAATTTATGAGGGATAATTTTTAGTCATCAACTTTTTATGAATAGTCCTTCATCTTTCAAGACAACAATATCCAAGTTATGTCTTAATTGAACATCAAATATAGCCATTTTGTAGCCTAATCTAATCCTCCCTGACAAACGAGGCCTAAGGTTATGAATTAATGATCCTTTAAAAAATGTAAATAATATTACTGGAGAAATAATTTCGATAGCTTAGTCAAAGTTGCCGTCGATGATTATTGTCGATGAAGATTGATCAACAAATTAACCTATAGACGCATAGAAAACGCTAACAATAGAAACCAAACGTACTGCCAAAGTTAGTCACTTTTTTCTTTCTTTTTTAAACGATAATCCAATAAGAAAAAAAAGTAAAATTTGACAGTGGAAGAAAAATAAACATAGCGTGTTGCTAAAGTTAGTCACATAGTTGTTAACTTTTGTCTGGTTGGTTTAGGTACGAGAGCGCTGGGTTCTTTGACCAGACTACCCTTCCTGGTAATGTAGGGCTTTGTAGCAATAAAACTGCATCACAAGCTACCGCATTTAGTGCAGCTGCTGGAAAATTGCTAGTGGATCTCCAACTTGCAACACCAAAGATCAACGGTTTCTTTGCAGCAACTAAGAATGAAGTTGTTACTAGTGGTAGTGGAAATGAAACAGTCTATGGTGTGGCACAATGTGCAGAGACAATCAGCAAGACTGGTTGCCAAGATTGCTTGAATGTGGCATACGCCAACCTTCAAAGCTGCCTGCCTGATACGGATGGCAGGGCCGTCGATGCCGGGTGCTTCTTGAGGTACTCTAGTACTTCTTTCTTCCCGGACAACCAGACTACGAACATAGCGTCCTTCTTAAAAACTGGTAAGAATAAACTTTTATCATATAGTCATTAAATTTGTTCACTAAATGATGTGTCATCGTTACATGTAAACTTTTTAGAAATATATAAGCTAGCTAGGCTTTACGTGAATCCGAATTTGGATACATGAAATATTGTTACCTACTACATATTTGGTGAACAAATTTGATGTCCCTAACAATTCTATGCGTACTAGTAAAGTACTTTGTCTTTAATTTGGAAGTACCCGAAAGCATAATGTTTTTCATATATTATCTCGCAGGAGGCAATTCAAGAAAGAAAGCCATCATTATTGGAGTCGTAGTTGGAGGTGTAGGTCTTCTTATTCTCATTGTTGGAGTTCTACTCTATTTTAAACTTTCAAGAAAGCCCGAGGCTGCTCGTAGAGGTATTCTTCTGCCACAACCACAGAATTCGAACTTGCATTTCCTCTTGCATATATACTATTATTCAATTAGCTCATGCTCTAACCATGTTTACATATATATAAACATAAAAAAATTGCTTGTACATGTCTTCAATTGTTTAAATTTACTCATTTTAGGTGATATTTTGGGTGCAACCGAGTTGCAAGGACCAATGAATTACAAATATAAAGATTTGAAGTCGGCAACAAAAAACTTCAGTGAAGAAAACAAACTTGGAGAAGGAGGATTTGGGGACGTCTACAAGGTAAATTATATGCTAAAGAACTCTAAAATAATTTAGTTTAGTTCAGTTTAGTACGGTCGAATATGGTGTACTCTTTTCTGACATGAATAAAGTTTTGAAAATAATAGGAAAGTTGCATTGTCAAGCTTTTGATTATCCATGGGCATATTTCATTTTATAGCTCAATATATAATCCCTAACGTTCATTTACAACTACATGATTGGACAGGGTACTCTAAACAATGGAAAAATAGTTGCAGTTAAAAAACTAGCAATTCTCCAATCCGACAGGGCAAAGGCGAATTTCGTAAACGAAGTGAAACTGATAAGTAACGTTCATCACCGGAATCTCATTCGTCTTCTTGGATGTTGTAGCAAAGGACCAGAGTTACTTCTCATATATGAATACATGGCAAACAACAGCCTCGACAGATTCATATTTGGTAATTTTAGGCTTCTTTGCTCAGCTACCTCTAAATGTATGCTTACATATACATTTTATTGTTTTATTTGTTCATTTAAAAATCTGTTTTTTCCTTCTTCTTCCATGGGAAATAGGTCCAAAAAGAGGCTCTCTCAACTGGAAACAGCTAAATGACATAATCCTGGGTACAGCTAGGGGTCTTGCCTATTTACATGAGGAGTTTCATGTATGCATCATACATAGAGATATAAAAACCAGCAATATTCTTTTGGATGATAGTTTCCAGCCAAAAATTGCAGATTTTGGGCTGGCAAGGCTTCTACCTGATGATCAGACTCATCTTAGTACCAGATTTGCTGGAACATTGTAAGTTAAAGTACTTCACTTCCCACAGGCATCAACCCCTGATCCAGATCTTCCACAAAAAATGTTATGAATCTACTATATACATGGCCGGTACAAAAGGGCGACTCTGCTAATTTGATCTTGTGTGACACTGACAGGGGATACACAGCACCTGAATATGCAATTCATGGCCAATTGTCAGAAAAGGTGGATACATATAGTTATGGTGTGGTTGTCCTTGAAATCATAAGTGGCCAAAAGAGCAGTGAAATCAAATCTGATGCTATGGGTGAATTTCTACTTGAAAAGGTAACTTCAAAACTGTATATATAATTCTTCCCTGAGATTTCTGTTCTGCTTAATTACTTAAGAATTGTAACATGTTTTATTTTATTTTATTTCTTTTTCACATTAATGATTAGGCATGGAAACTGTATGAGAATGGCAAGCATGTGGAGCTGGTGGATCCAAATCTGGATCCAAATGAATACAAACCAGAAGATGTAAAGAAGATTATAGAAATTGCTCTGATGTGCACTCAACCATCAGCTGCTCAAAGGCCTACAATGTCCGAAGTTATAGTTCTACTTAAAAGCACTAGCTCCGTGGAGAATAGGGCGCTCACTAGGCCTGTTTTTGTTGATTCTGATAAGAGAGTGAAGGGAGACACATCAACCTCTACTGCTTCCTCCACATCCAACGCCACCGTATCGGTTTCTCAAGTTTCAGGTCGCTAAGTGCTAATTAAAGCAGTATATTTCAACTCTTGTACTTAAAATTTGGGAGTTTCTATTGGTTGTTTATAGTTTCAAAGCAAAGATGTATTTTTATGTCTACTAGGATTGTTAACAATAGTGATTTCACACTCCTTTTTCTTCATTTGAACTCCTCTTGGTTTTTCATGTAAAGCACAAATGCTAGTTGTATGGCCCAGAGCCAAACATTTGATGTACTTTAAATCTTTAGTATTCAATAATACTGCATAACTGCTGATATTTACATGAATGTTTCATAAAATTGAAGTGGAGAAGAAACTATCTTAAAGAGTTGAGAATGAGTTTGGGTGGCTTGAGTGAAAACACTTTATCCATCAACACAAGGAGATGGTGAAGGCATCTTATTATGGCGGGATCATTTGCATCCTCCAGAGCCTTTCTTTTTCAGAATACGGGTAGATTTTAATCATTAAACTAGGAATGTAAATGCTAGATGTTACAAACATACAAATCATAATCATAATCATAATCAACATTACGTAGTTACAAACATACAAGATCCATCCACAATTGGTACATATACAGCAGAATCAGAGCATCATTGTTCCCTCACAGATACACACATCACCTTAACACATGCTCTTATTCTTTTATTGAATTACATGGAGTTTCTGACTATGTTTCTTTTTCTTTCATTCTCTTATTCGTTTATGGAATTACATATATTACTTGGAAGCAGCAGACCCGGTAAAGGGTGCCTAGAATGATACTCGAATATCAAGCAATGTCATCAACTGAGAAATAAGCTCTGGTTGGCCATGCCACGCTGCTGCGGTAACCAGATTTCCATCAGTGACACAACGATCTATTGGATCTGCTTCCACAAACGTCCCCCCTGACGAAACCACACGAGCCTTAATCCCTGGGTATCCAGTACATTTCTTCCCCTGAAATATAGCCAATTAAACCAATTATGACACGCTAAAAAGTGCCTAACCAGATTATATAAGTACATTAACCGCTAATCAAAAGAAACAGAAAAAATATCATCTCGTTTGCGATTTTAAAGAGCACTCACCTCCCTCTTCCCAATATATATTTACAATTGATAGGTTAATAGGTCACAACAGATCAGCTCAACAGAACCAAAATACAAAGCACTAGATGTAACCTTTTTTTCTTCCTTTTCAAGTACAATCTGTTTTACTTTTCCTTTAATAAGTAGCATTAAAACGGGAAGCATTATATTAATGTTGTAGTGACAAACGTTTAACCACTAAATGCAGTAAGGAATATATGTTTTTTTCTTTAAGAACCATACCTGCAGAACACCAGCAGCAACTAAAATTTCCAGGCCATGGCAGATGGATGCAACTGGTTTCCTGGCTTCCATAAATTGCTTCACTAGTACAATAACATCCTCTTTTAGTGCCAAAAACTCTGGAGCTTTACCTCCAGGGAGTACAAGAGCGTCATAACTTGAGGCATCTATGGATTCAAAGTCAGCTGTTAAGACAAAATTATGTCCCGGGATCTCACTGTACGTTTGGCCGCCTTCAAGATCACGGATAGCAGTTGGGCAGGTATCACCGGCTTTCTTCTTGGGGCAAACCACATCAACATGGCATCCTAGAACTTTGAGGGTCTGATAAGGCACAGTTACCTCATAATCTTCTGCGTAGTTCTACAAATATTGGGGAGGGGATCAATTAAATGATGATGATTAGTAACTAACAGTTTAATCATTGGCTATATTTTGTCCTATATTTGTCATTGCAATATAAAAGAAACAGAAAAGAAAGCTTACTCCAATGATGATGAGGACCCTTCTCTCTGAAGCACATATGTTGCCTCCTAGTGCCTTGAGAAAAAGCCCAATGAACTCAGGATTGCCATAATATGTGACCCCAGTAATTAAATTATCATCAGCAACACACACTGACAATGTATCGGGTTCTACCCAGTGAGCACCAGCAGCAACCAATCCAGGTTTCATAGTTGAAACCGCTGTGCACTTGCGACCTTTAACAGCGCCTGCAGGTGCTAAGACCAACAGCCCATGGCAAATAGCAGCAATTGGCTTTCTGGAGTCAGAAAATTTTCTCGCCAATTCTACAACCGATGCCTTCATAGCAAGATGTTCAGGAGATCGTCCTCCTGGTATAACTAGACCATCATATTTGTCAAATTCGATGTCATCAAATGTTGCATTCAGTGTGAAATTGTGACCACGAGATTCGGTATTAGCCTGTAACCAAAAAGGTACACAAAAGAAAACCAAACACAACACACACATTAAAACAAGAGTAATGGTTAGGTGAATTCAAGCTTCTTTGTCTTGCTTGTCTCTCAAACTCAAACTCAAACTCAAACTCATCAGAGGTTGTTTTCCAACAACTGTGTTCAATATTAAATATATAAAATCTATAAAATATATTCCTCTTGTTTACAAATAAAAATGAAGAGTTTGACCTGGTCAGTGGACTCTACTTGAATGGTTATGGCAGTGGCGCAGATATCACCAGCTTTCTTGACAGGAGAAACTGCATCAACTGAGACTCCAAATGCCTGCAGTGCTTGAAATGGGACCATTGCCTCGTAATCTTCCATATAGTCCCCGCACAGTAACAACACCCTCCTCCGTTCGTCGCCTTTCGGATTCCCCATTTCTTTTCTTATTTCCTTCTTTAGTTTCTTTCTTCTTTTTCAGAGAGAGAGAGAGAGAGAGAGAGAGAGAGAGAGATTTTTCACAGAGAGAGAGAGAGAGGGAGAGAGTCTGAATACAAGAAGGCAGGTTATAACTTGAGCTGCTCCGCTTTGCTTACTTAAATACTCACAAAAGCGTTTTTGGAGGTTTGTGGAGTCAGCTAGATACAGTCGCACGCAATTTGAGCAACACATCGCAGTCAGTTATCGCGGCATCTCTCTATTAGTTTCAAGCCTATCACCGTATCCATGTTTGATATGTTTTTTTGTTGTCTTGTTTACCGACCCAAATGAGTCTCAATTATTCGAGGAAGATGGAAACTTGAGTTTGTTCTCTTCACGGACCATGTGAGTCTAAATTATTGGAGGATGATTGAAACTTGAGTGCAAAGAGGCGGATTTATTCTCTTATTGTGAATACAAGTGATGATCTAAATTATTAGAGAAATATTCTAACTTGAGTGCAAAGAGCACAAATTTAAGTGCAAAGGAGTGGATTCACTGTCTTATTACGAGTGCAAATGATAGTCTAAATTATTAGAGAAATATTCAAATTATAGTGCAAAGAAGCGTACTAATTGTCTTATTGTGAATATTCGAATATTCGAGCTCAATGCTTCCTTTTCGATTGGAAAAAAAGAAGAAGCTCAATGCTTCCAAGCTAATGTCCCTATACTATAAAAAAGCTCTTTAGAGTCCTCATCCAACTTTGATCTCTTAGTATCTGGTACGTGAACATCTCCAATGCATCCCCAAACTCGAAAGTAATCCACAGTTGGCTTGAGTCCACTCCAGCACTCTTCTGGAGTCTTGCCTTTTACCACTGCTGTTGGACTCCTGTTTAACACATGTACTGTCCATCGAACCGCTTCTGGCCAAAACACCTTGGGCATTTGCTTCTCTGTCAGTAAGCATCGAACCATATTCATGTTACGCTCTGCAACCCCATTCTGCTGAGGGGTGTACGCTGCCGTAGACTGTCTTCTAATGCCATGAGATTTACAAAAATTGTTAAACTCATATGAAGTGATTCACCACCTCGGTCAGTTCTTAAACAACATATATCACTCCCTACTTCCTTCTCAACAAGACATTTAAAATCTTTGAAAGATATAAAGGCTTTACTCTTTTCAGACAGAAAGTAAACTCAATCCTTCCTACTATAGTCATCAATAAAACTCAAGATGTACCTATTGTTGCTATTTGAGCTTGGTGTGATGGGACCACAAATGTCAGCATGTATTAACTGCAGTTTTTGCGAGGCCCTCCACTGACTTTTCTTTGGTATGGCCTCATGATGTTGCTTTCCGATGTTGCAAACAGTACACTCTCTTTTCACAGCTTTGAGTTTTGGCAGCCCTTTCACAAGTTGCTTGTAGTGCAAAGTTCTAAGACTCTTGTTGTTCAGATGGCCATACCTTCGATGCCAGAGATCAGTGATATCTTTAGCTGCAACTTGAAGACAGTTTGAGCTTTGCATATTTGCATTGGCGAGCAAGACGAACATCCTGTTCACTATCATCTAAGTATGTGCTATAAGACCTCTCCTGGGATGATAAATTCCGCACGCTCCATCTTGAATCAGAATGGCCAGCCCCTTCTCTTGTAACTAACCAACACTCAACAAATTATTTGTAAGCTCAGGAACGTAAAACACATTGGTCGCTACCTGAATTATTCCTCCGATCTCTAGCTTGATGTTTCCCTTTCCCATTACTGGCATCCTTAAATTGTTCCCCAGCTTCACTGAATGCCGAAATTGCTCATCAAAGTCAATAAACCATTGCTTGTTTCCTGACTTGTGGTTTGAGCAGCATGAGTCAAGAAACCAGGCTCCTTCCCTCTTTGCATCGTTGAGTTCAACATGAGACATCAAGAGAACCTTCTCTTCTTTATCTGCCTTCGCATTTGCCTCCCCATAGTTTACAGCCTTCTCCCAGCTAGGACATTCATATTGAAAATGCCCTAGCTTGTGACATTTGTAGCACTCAACCAGTTTCGCTCCCTTGTTTCGCTTTTCTCTCTAACACTCACAATCAGGCCCCGATTAGGAGCTTTGATACCAAATTGTTACACCCCGGATCGACTCTACCGTATCACGATATTGTCCGCTTTGGGCCTCTTTCTCTACCCTCACGATTTTGTTTCTAGGAACTCATGAGTAACTTCCCAGTGTGTCACTCATCCTTAGATTGCTCTAGCCTCCACTAGCTTAACTTCAGAGTTCCCATGACTCCGAAGACAATGAGCTCCCAAAAGGCCTCGTGCTAGATGAAGGTGAGCATGTACATATAAGACACAAGATCCCTCTATATGAACCAGTTATGTTACCTTCGAGGTGATAAGTTGAATTTTTTTTTATGTACAGCCGCGCGGCTATACTTGATAATATAATATTTTAACCGTATAGCCGCGCGGCTATACACAAAAAAAAGAATCTTTTAATATTTCAAAAGTATAGCCCCCAAAAATAGAATATTTTAAAGGTATAGCCGCACGGCTCCGAAAATAGAAATAGCCGCCCGGCTATACTCTATCTCAGAAAAATGTCTTGTTTTGGGTTTACAAATTCTAAATTAAGATACGGCAACCTATAGAAACATAGAAAACGCTATATGAATGCATGGCAACCTAAAATTGCTTCTCATATATGAATACATGGCAAACAACAGCCTCGACAGATTCATATTTGGTAATTTTAGGCTTCTTTGCTTAGCTACCTCTAAATGTATGCTTACATATACATTTTATTGTTTTATTTGTTCATTTAAAAATCTGTTTTTTTCTTCTTCTTCCATGGGAAATAGGTCCAAAAAGAGGCTCTCTCAACTGGAAACAGCTAAATGACATAATCCTGGGTACAGCTAGGGGTCTTGCCTATTTACATGAGGAGTTTCATGTATGCATCATACATAGAGATATAAAAACCAGCAATATTCTTTTGGATGATAGTTTCCAGCCAAAAATTGCAGATTTTGGGCTGGCAAGGCTTCTACCAGATGATCAGACTCATCTTAGTA